AGGAATTGCCGCAGGGCTCTCTCTCCTAATCTTTCTTCTTTACTCATATGGGAATGATAAAGAAGAAGAAATGAGAAAGAATCATGAGCTCTTCTTTTCGTATCTCTTCGCATTTTCAGCATGGAAGGCGGGCCAGAGGCGAGAGAGTGCAAAGGGAAGAGACGCGAGAGATCAATGGGGACAAGCGAAGGGACGTGCGGGGAAAGGAGGGACAGCCCGGTCGAGACAAGCTCCCGAGAACCTGCGTGCAGGCAGGTGATCTTTCTTCACTTATCTTCATCATTGTCTCATTTTCTTAGTGGGAAACGTAGAATGCAAACAAGATAAAAGAAAGTCAAGGGAAGAAAGAGAAGGGTTCCTTTTTGTGGTGAGAAGGTAGTCGGAAAGCAAAAGGAGACTCCTCTTTCATTCTGTTTATCCCTGCCTCTTATAGTCTTTTTCGGAAGGAAGAGAAAAGAAAATATGCGGATAGGAAGGGAGCCTTTCTTCGATGGGAAAAGTGAAAGAAATGCCCCCGCACCTGTCACACAAAGCAACAGAAGAGAAAAGAAAGGAAGTTATAACAGTGCAGAAGGAGGCGAGGAAACACTAGAGGCCGCCCTTCTTCTGTCCGTTTGAGCGTGACGAAACAAAAGAAATGGAAAGATGAAAGTCGGGAGGGGGGCTGGTAGCTGTTCCTTTCTTTTCCGAACCAGGATTCCAGGATAGCGAAGGAAATAGTAGGGAAAGGCCCTCTTTCTTCTTTCGTGTTTATTTATGTCTGCACTGTGCAAAGAAAAGAAGGCGGGGACAGGCCGTTTAGAAATGAAAGCAGGCGATCTTTTCATCCATTTTGGTCACCTTTCTATTTATTGACCCTTGTCTTCTCCCTTCTGCTTGGAGTGAGAAAAGAAAAGTGAAAGGAAAAGTGAGAGGGAAAATGAAGCCCTCCTTCCATTCTGAAAAATCAGCAGAGATAGGAATAGAAGAACTCCGAAGATAGGAACACAGGAACGTCTGCACATGATTCTTTCTTTTTCCTCCTTTTCTTTTTAGATTCTGGGTTTAGGAGTTAGAGTTTAGGAAATACGGTATAGAGTTTCTTGTGTAGGGTTTTAGAGTGTACGAATTTGTGGTCAGGGTTCCGGGCTTAGGGTCTGAGATTGCAAGAGCCAAAACATTTATCAGTCCGAAATGAGTTGTCTAAGTGCGCATATGCGTGAGACGTTGTTGGAGAAGTAGCTGGGTTGTCTTGGATATGCTAAAATTGATTAATAATCCCAGGCGGTAGCTTCTAAATAGACCCTATTTTGCTCAGCCACTCCCCCCCCCCCATTCGTTCCTTTGTCCGGGATCTCGGACGTCGTCAGAGTAGCTGTCCTGCAGAACGCCGCACAAAGGCCACGAAATCCTCAACCCGAAACCCCTAAAACCAAAAGCCTCTAAAGTCCTAAGGTCTTCAGGAGCCTTAACCCTAAACACGAACCCCAAAAACCGAAACTCTCAAGGCTTGATGTCTCGAGGCTTCGAGGGTCTAGGTTTTGGGACTCTTTGGTCTGTAGGCGTTAGGGCTTGAGGGCCTCAAGACATATAGGGTCCGGGTGTAGGGTTTTGGGGTTTTGGGGTTTTGCGGTTTTGGGGTTTTGGGGTTTTGGGGTTTTGGGGTTTTGGGGTTTTGGGGTTTTGGGGGTTTGGGGTTTGGGGTTTTGGGTTTTGGGGTATTGGGGTTTTAGGGGGTTTGGGGTTCAAGGGTTTTGGGCCAGGGGGCCCAGGGCCACAGGGCTTCGGGTTTAGCTTTTCGCGTTCCTCTTGCCAGGGGTTGTACCTTGGACCCTGAAGGTTGTACCCTTGGGTTTTGGGGATCCATTTTCAAGATCCTTTAGGCAGGTAGTATAATGGGCATATTAGGAGTGCCAAAACCCTAAACCCTAAACCTTAAACCCTAAATCCTAAACCGTAAACCCTGAGGGGTACAACCTCAGGGGCACGAGTCCTAATCCTTAGGCTCCAAGGGACTTTACAAACGGCAGCCTTCAAGCCACTGACCTGCCAAAACCCTTCTAAAAACCCTCGGCTTAAACCTCTAAGCCTCAAGCCCTAACCTGAAAACCTAACCCCTAAGAGCCCTAAGCCCTAACCCCTTAGGGGCCCTAAACCCTAAACCCTAAACCCTAAACCCTAAACCCTAAACCCGAAACCCGAAACCCGAAACCCTAAACCCTAAACCCCTAGTCCTCCAGGACGCGGCTGACCGAAGAGGAGGAGGACCAGAAGTTCGAGTCCCAGCCGCCCTTTGTTTAGGGTTTAGGGTTTAGGGTTTAGGGTTTAGGGCTTAGGGCTTAGGGCTTAGGGCTTAGGGCTAGGGTTTAAGGATTTAGGGTTTAGGGTTTAGGGCTTTAGGCCCTGTGTTTCAAGGGACTAAAGGAGGGACCCTTATGAGGGACCTTACGGGTTATTTGGGGCTATTTTAATTAGGGGCTACTTTGGTATATAGGGACCATATAAGGTATACTTCTACCTCTGAGGTGTTCAGGGTTTAGGGCTTTAGGGTTTGGGGCTTCAGGGTTTAGTGGCTGATGGGTTTCGGGGTCCTTGAACCCTAAAGCCTAAACCTTAAACTCCAAACCCTAGGTACAGGGTTTAGGGTTTAGGGTTTAGGGTTTAGGGTTTAGGGTTTAGGGTTTAGGGTTTAGGGTTTAGGGTTTAGGGTTTAGGGCCCGCAAGTTGCACCTCCGGGTTCAGGGCTCCAGGGGCTTTTGGGGCTTTAGGGTCTGAGGAACCCTACGCGCCACGAAGCCTGAACCCCTTTCAGCCCTACAAGCCCTAAACCCTAAACCCTAAAGCCTGAACCCCCCTAAACTTAGGGTTTAGGGTTTAGGGTTTAGGGTTTAGGGTTTAGGGCTTAGGGTTTAGGGTTTAAGCCGTCTGAACCCCAAACCCTGCACCTGGGAATGCGAACCCCAAGCCCTGCAAAGCTCTAAGCCCTTGAGACCTGCGTGCCCAAGTGCCCTTTTTTGCTCTCCCGATTTTGAACCCAAAGCTCTGAAGCCCTAAACCCTAAACCCTAAACCCTAAACCCTAAACCCTAAACCCTAAACCCTAAGTTTAGGGACAAGCTCTCTTCGTGGGACTCTACTTGGACCCCTGAGGTGGTACCCTTGGTGTTTGGGGACCCTCTTTTTTCAGATTCCTAAGGGAAGACAGGAGCCAAAATAGGACCCTAAACCCTAAACCCTAAACCCTAAACCCTAAACCCTAAACCCAAAACCCAAAACCCTAAGAGTAACCTAAGGGAAACCTTGAGGGGTACAACCTTAAGAGGACGAGTCTTGACCCCTTGACCTCCCTGTCTCCCTGAGACCGCGCTAAGCGCCGACGTCTCCGAGCCCCGAGCCCGGCGGCAGTACAAGACCTTGCTTGTGTTTAAGGACTTGCGGTTTTTTGGGGTTTGCTTTGTTTAGGGTTTCTGGGTTGTGAGGGGTTGTTGGGTTTAGGTTTTGGGGTTTTGGGGGGTTGTTGGGTTTAGGGTGTTAGGATTTTGGGCTTGTTGGGATTAGGGTTTTGGGGTTGAGGTTTTGACCCTAAACCCTAAACCCTAAACCCTAAACCCTAAACCCTAAACCCTAAACCCTAAACCCTAAACCCTAAACCCTAAACCCCCTTGA